CCACGCTCAACCTTCCAGGTCGAATGTCAAAATTTAAAAGGGCCGAAGAATCGGACAAGCTGAACAAGTAGAGCTTTTCCCCGAAAAATAACCAACGGAAAGGGTTGGTACTAAACTGTCACTTCAAATTTAAATGAAAAGCCTGCCCTGACAATTTCCGAAGATATTCGTGAAAAACCGAAATTTCTTTTTTTTCTTCGAATATCTAGAACTTCTAGATATCAATTTTTTTTTAAATTTGTTGGATGAATTTTGTTAGTTATTAAATAGCGCAACTTTTTCCCATTTAACCATTGCTGTATCTGTAACCGTTTACGAGATCCCCGTGACAGTCATCTTTATCTTGGACACCCTGTATTTAACTGCTATTTTCTAATCAACAGTTGCTGAAAATCTGCCAAAGATGTTTATGTAAATAAATTCTAGCTTTTTTAGGACGATGAAATTTTCACTTCCATTCCAAAATCGGTGACATGAGCCACGCTTAAGGGATAACTATAATGTACAATATTATTCCAGTTTAATAGCCAAACATAATAACATCATATTCAATGTGATCCAAATAATATATTTAATTCACTTGTGATAAATATTCACTCTCGGAGCACTGTCCTTCACATACTCAAAGATTCGTACAAGGTATTCCCATTTTAACACATTTACAAGATGTGCAAGGAGATAAGTTCACAGTGTTTTGACACTTCTGGAATTGCTGTCCACACAGGTTGGTATGATCCTCCCGAAGTTAGTATCTATCCCCAGTTGGTTCGCGGAGGTATTGTGTATTGTGAATCGAGGCTGTTATTCCAGATTCTTGCTTGGAGAGCAGCTCGTTTGATATGTTGTTTTAAAGCATCTGCTGTAGGAGGAATATTTTCGATTGCCCGATTCTTTATTGTAAATAGCATTCGTCCGCATTTATTGATGTTCTCAAGATCTGATGCTCGATCATAAAGTAGAATAACATAACGCTGCAACAGATCATGACATTTATAATCAATATCAGAGGTGCCAGGTGCCTGTACAGAGCCACTGCAATACATAATAAATTTCACATGACATCCAGACTTTCCAAGCATTTACCTACCAAATGGTGCCAACTAATGTACAGTTACCTATCTAATCGAGAATTTGAAGTGAAAATTGGTAAATGTCTATCAACAACTAGAGAAATTGAAGCAGGAGTCCCCCAAGGATCAGTTCTTGGGCCCCTACTTTACAGCCTCTACATAAGTGATACACCAACAAATGCACGAAAAAAAACAGCACTATTCGCTGATCAACAAGGCACAGAAATACCACGATAATTAGCAGGAATCTACAACTACACATGGACACCATTCAAGAATGGTGCAACTTCAATAAAATTGTAATAAATGCAGCGAAAACATAAGCCAGGAGACTAAATCAAGGACCCAACATCATAATAGGCGGCGAGGTTGATTATCTGGGACCGCGTATTTATAAAAAAGCTAACGTGGGGACCTCACACCAAAAATGTCAGGGACAAGGTAAAAGCGGCGATTTTTCAATTGTATCCAATTTTGGGAAGAAGAAGTTCAATGAGCTTAAGAGTCGAAATCACCATTATAAAAGCAGTCACAAGGGCTCAGCTGGTGTATGCTTCTACCAAGTGGGGTTACGTGTGCAAGAGCCATATGAAAATGCTAGAACAGAATGAGAACAAAATTCTGCGCAATGCTGCAAATGCGCCGTCGTTCCTAAGGAATACAGACCTTCACAAAGACCTAAAATGGACTTTCCTGCAAGAGTTCATATTGAGTAAAGCCACCAAATTTTACATGCTGTTCACCCAAATGAAGATCTTCGGAACCTGACGGCCTACGATCCTGCAGAAGAACGGCAGTACAATACTGCCACCTACCACAAAAGGCCCAAGGACCTATTCAGTATCCGGATGAACAGTCCCCAGATTAGTTGCCGCCGCTGGGAGGCACTACCAATCCAGGAAAAACCACAACATCAGGAAGAACCACAACATCAGGAAGAACCACAACATCACCATCTACATATCGAGAAAACATCAAAAGCACTAATGAAGAATAAAAAAGAGAGGCGCTGCTATCAAAAGGAGTAAGAGGGCAATGGCAAGATAATAGATACTGGTTAATCAGGTTGAATAACCCGTAACCAGGCGTAGGGCATAGAAGTCAAGTAACTGCAAACGGTGTTGTTTTAGTGGGTATGCCCTTCACATTGCACTATCGTGAAGGGTGCGCCTCACACTACCCAATTCAGGCGAATTGGGTGGGCATAAGGCGCATTTCCACACCTTACCAAAAAAAAATAAAAAATGTAACTGTGTCGCAAAATAGAATGAAAAGCCAACAAATTTCTGCAAATTTCCGGTGATGAGAGTGTTGCACAAATCTTATGAATTGAAATGAATTTTCTGTATCTCTCATAACCATACTCAATCCATAGTTCATCAATATTTTGTATTTGTGGGAACAGTGATATTGCATTAACCACTATATCTGAGTCTACAGTTCGAATTAAGACGCGACTAGGTCCACTTTCTACTGCATGCTTAACATGGAGAAGTAAACGGCCATCTGCTTCTTCGTGTGAGAGGGGAGAAATGCTTGGAATATCTATAGTTGTTGACGTGAGGACTTGGTCATCATAAGTACAGACAACTTGTTTTCCTGGATAATCGTCTCTCACCATTTTCTCAGCGAGCAACAGGAACAATTGTGCCTTATTTCCGTTAACACATAGGAATTGCTTAAATTTTTTTGGAATTCTAGTTGAGTGTTGAGTTTGAGACTTTTCAATACTTATGCCACTTCCTCTACCTTTTCGGGTATCTGCCTTCACACTGTTACTAACATATACATATGTCGAATACAATAGGTGATTTCGATAAGCTTTGGTACATGGTTTGGTACCCTGTTTGGTCTGTCAAATGCATACCAACTAATTTCGGATACGGAAATGATGACTTCACCGTGACTTTGGTATCCTTTTTGGTCTGTCAAATAGGAAACCGTGGTCAGCAGCACGGTTCTTCTCGTTTGGTAGTGCTATCTAAATTTATTTTCGTTTTGTTCTGCTCTGATGCAAAACGTAAGTAAATGGAATTTCGTTAGAATTCGAAATTTTTAAACAAATGTGTTTGTTTTTTCGCCTCCATTTTCCTATTTTCTTGAATATTCTGCCAAACAATATCCAACGATCATTTTAAAAATGGCTTTGAACGACAGATATGGGGTAACTTTTTTGCTGAATGGAATCAGCTTTACATTGACAAAAAACGACAAGCTAGCCAATATGTTATTTAAAGGTAAAAATTTCTTTTTCCCCTCTCATGACCTACCAAACGAATTCGGAAGAAAATGTTGTCTTACGTCATTACTATGATGTTGTAGGTAACAAATGCTTAACCAAATGGTATACCAACCAAAGCTTGCCGAAATCGCGTAAGATCTATTCTTGAACTATTCTTCAGTTGATTTGTGAAATATGGTTTGAAAACATATTCATAGTATGCAGAAAATGTGCTAGCATGTGCAAGATTAAGCATGTGTATTACAGCTGCTCCATCAAGTATTTCAGCTGCTACATTCGGTTGGCTGGGATTAAACCTGATGTCACATTTTGTTTGAATGCAGTCAATAATATCCGACTTGTTGGTTGGCTTGTGGAGTTTTCGATCATCTGGAATAGATGATGGGTACATTATTGGTTTTCATGTGAAAAGAACTCATCAATGTTGCCATTCCGTGCTTCAGATGCGACATAGAATCTTCAGAACAAGTTGGAATCTTTACGCGAGTTAGCAATCTTGGACTTTGATTTATCTGTTTTTCTTGTAATAGTCTTGAAGATGTACATTTTGGTTCGAGGAATAATTTCATGGATAGAATTTTGAACTTGGAATTAGTTTGGAGCTCCCTATTGACACCACATCGGTTTCTTCAAACGGATTTGCTTGTTCGATTAAGACATTAACAATTCTTTCAACATGGTCCAGAAACCTTTTTTCAAATTCATTGTTATCTATTTGATGCTTTGCGCCCACGTTTTTGTCATCTTTTAAATTGGATTTTTCCTCAAATTCCTCAATTAAAGAACTGATCCTAGGGCACTAGAGCAGTTTTGCTGCTCGTGAAGTTGCCACGAAGAAATTCAGCATGTATATCTGGATGTTTTTCGGGAAGATCCTGTATAGTGCGTACGATCACTGGCAACCAATGAGAATAGTGGACTGCGTTCAACGCAAATGTCCACGGACATAACTAAGCCAAAGTATCGACGTACATGGTAAAGTTAGCTGTACGAATACTTCATAAAAGTGAATAAAAGTTTCACTAGAAGGGACTGCAGTTTGATAACTTTATTCCAATATTGGAACTCAGGACATTCAGATGTCGCCGACAAAATCCACAGTTCAATGCCTTCTGCACTGATGCTGGAATTTGTTTCGTATGCTTTATTGAATGGGTTTACCTGTAGACAATGCAAGGCAGTTAAATTAACTTCGTGCGCATACCGAGATCTTTTCACATGCGACGATGTGAGGCAGGATTCCGCAACACCAATACCAGCGGCTGTCACTAACTCAGTCCATCCACTGCCAGTTAACCACTTGCCAAGGAAGGTAATGACCATCATTCTGTGTGAACGCCACTCATCAAGAATATGGTGCGATCCTCGCCCTACTTATCAGAAATCTTCCATTGCAGTTGCTTCCCAAAAGCATATACTGGTTGGTCACATATAATCATGGGAGCTTGATTTCCATTTAATTTTGCTGTAACCATCATTATGCGGTACCATTGCTGGCGTCGCAATTTCGTCATTTAGAAGTGGAAGCAATAACGCATCACACTTTAAATTTCTAAAACCAGGTTCATTTTGTGCTTGACAAGCAGCGAACGATGCATATGCTGTTTGAAGAGTCGCGGAACAGTTTGCAAACTCCGGCTTCTAATCTGAAAATGGTCTGATTTGTGCCAGTTCTCAAATCTAGAAACCTTGTCCAATCTATAGTGTCTCGGTTGACTTTGATGTTCAAAGAATCCAGGTTTTTCTGGCCGAATGGACTGCAAAGGCAACTGGGGCATCGAAGCCGAAACCACCCACAGCTCAGAAGCCACAAAATCCACGTCGCTTTGGCTGCAACCAGCTACAGCTAAAGGCACTTTAGCTACATCGATGATACTTTCTTTTGATACATTGCTGGAAAACTTGACCATAGCTTTGCAGACAGTTTCAGATACATTTATGAGTGCTTGGACAGTAAACTCTTGTTGTCTTAGTATGATGAGGCATTGTTTGCCTCTGGCACGGCTCGTATGGAGCCTGGCTCTTACCCAAACATTTTGCCGTTCTAAAGATTCATTTAAGTCTTTCATGTAAGCTTAGAGGCTGAAGGGTCAGATTGGATCATGGGCAAGTTACCGTATTTGCCTTTGGAGACATCAACTTCTTCGGTGGTTGAAGCAGAGGCTTCGCTAGGGTTGGTTGCTTTGTGTTCAGCCTCTTTGGCGCCTTTTCTGCCTTTTTCGCTTCTTTTTTTGAGGCCTTTTTGCTTTCGTCTTCTTCTACTATTTTTAATGGGATTTTATAGCACTTGGCATTTGGAAGATAAGATATTTGATTGTTCCACTGCTGGATACGAACGCTGTCATCATCAATCTCCATAGCTGTGACACTGTCAGGATGCTGAATAATCGTTACTCGAACCAAGGAAAGAAGTAATGGCAGTAGAAGAAGATTGATTGTGTTCAATGTTGTCTATTGCTGATGTTACAAATACAGTGGGACACAACTTTGGCGGGTGAACACTATCTTCCATATATTGTTTATATAATACATTCGTAACTGTGGCTGATAATTCTTGCACTCGATTATATGGAACACTCAAACCCAGACGACACAGTTTATCTATAATCTTTTTCTTTTTAGTGACAGCGTGAATCATGAGATCTACATATAGTGGGAGTGGTGTCTCTTTCCAGAGAGTGATGTACACTCTGAAAATTTTCTTTTCTGGCATGCTTAATGCTGTTATATCTGCTAAGTTGGGCAATTGACAATCCTGCTATATTTGCTGCAGGTATTTCTGGCGCGAAACCAGAGTCGATATTGGGACCCTCTAATAACATACATACAAAATGAATAAGAACGGCAGGTACAGATGTGGAAGCAGTAAATGCATTGTTAAAGGATCCTTCAAATTTGGGAAACTTTTGAAAAAGTTGTTTTCGTAATATACCTACTGCCCGTCCCAGACACATATCATCATTGAAGTCATTAGTCATTAAAGGCACAGGCATCGCGAATGGCATCGCCAACATCCCCTTCGAAACTTGAAATAATTTCATGCCCAGACGTATCTGCTCTCGGACCAGGTACAAATGCTAATAGTTGTTCCTTGAGACGTGTTCCATTGATATTCTTTTCATCAGTGCGAATTCCCATATCAGTCATGCGCTCAGACACTAATTTTGTAACATAAGAAAGTTTAAACACTGGAGAAGTACTGCTAGATTAGTTTAAATCCTACATCAATTGAACCAATTCCGTTATAACTGCAGCATAAACAACTTATTCAGGATTATAGTATTCTTTTCTTTGAGAATGTTCAGCAGCTCGTAAACGTGTTAGACAGCGAGTATAGCATAGTTTGTTATACTTGGCTTCTAATAGTACAAAATCTCTTGATGACAACTTCTTCAACACTTTTTAATTTAGTAATTGTACAGCATGAATGTGAATTTTAGGCCCGATACCCAGCGTGGATGCAGTCACAAGTTTGTCTTTACATTCTCCTTCGCCACAAAATAGACACACGTTTTCCACATCTGAACAAAATAATGATGATTTTGTAAATTTTGATGTAGATGGAATTTGGTCTGAGCGAGATGGACGCTTTTTCGGTTTCTTTTCATAAGATAGTCTTTTCGCCTTTTGACTGTCATATTGGTTCTTGCAAGATTTGTGATATTTTGCTGCATGGGTGCAAAGACCACGCACATCGTTCAACACAAACTTTCATACCAGTCACCTTACACCTTGATTTATATAAACCACCCCTCAAATTGTCAGCATAAACAAATTTCTTCGGATAATTTGATTTTTGTATTTGTATAACTTGATAAATGCCTTATATTTATTCACTGTTTAATCTTTGCCATTTTTCAGAAATTCAACATTTATTTTTAAAATTAGTCTTACAAACATATTCCAGCATTTTATACCAATGTTGAAATGAAACGCCTTTCTCGCAATTCATGTAGATATATCAAGTTTTTTTGTAACAAATACAGCCACAAGCTTGCGTAGAATTACCATATGTAGAAAGTTATAACTTATGACTTAATGTACAATATGGGACAAGCTTACGCTAATAAACCTAACATTTACAAAATTGACCATGCACAGGTGCTCTCATTAAACAACCCCGGCGGTTTCGCCAACACACACAAAGATACTTCTCGTTTTTATTGTCAATTGTCATGTACCCGCATTGTATTCGGCAAGTCTGAAACGGGCCTTTATGCCTTCATGGATATTCTTCAACACGTAAAAACTTTACAAATGGTGGTTCATTGTGCGACGCGCCTAAATACATTGTGTATAGGCTCGGACAATACCGGCCAAAATACAATAATATTGCGGAAATGTAGTTAAATTTACTATTATTTGAAATTCGGAAGGTAACCACTGGGTGGATAGAATTATTTATGGATCATTTAGTGCAAGAAGCGATTTTTGCAGAACAGATTTTGGGATTTTCACTCATGGGCATGAAAAACAATGACGATCTCCCATTGGGGAATTGGGAAGAATGTATGCGTTGTGAATTTTATTTCAGGAAAACTCTATAATTTGTTTAAATCCTAAATTAAGAAACCATTCAATTCCCAAATTCTTATTTCAAGTTATTTCTTTAACAGAAAGTAGTGAGAGAGGAGAGGCTTTTCCATCATCTCTTGGAAAAGTACCTTCCCATTTTCCCTTCTTAATTAAAATTTGATGCGATGTCTATAAACACTTTTGGGGTGTTTAACTTATGTACACGTTGCAGGAAACAAAATAATGCTTTTCTCATTTTTTATTTTAATTCTTTCTAGTTAACATAAAATATTTTGTATAAAGTTTTACTATATTTTTAGCATGTCCATTTTGGAGAATTGCAGCAAAAAAATCAACAGACATTAGTCTCTGTTGAGAAAGATAAGTCTCTTGCAAATGCACATGATGAATTTGGTGTTTCCAAAGCAACTTTAATCGAGAAGGTTTAGAGAATTTATCCCAAAGAGACTCAGAAGTGAAAATGCAACAACTCCAATGAAGATAAGTTTTTTAAAACCTTGGCGAGATACCAGAGTCACCAAGGACTGCAAACAGGAGGAGAAGAGTTATTGGATACAAAAAAAGAAGGTGACGTAAATATTATTGAAAACTATCATCCAATCTGACCTATCTGTGTACAGATTATCCACCACAAGAATAATCGAGCAAATTAGACTTTTACCAACCAGTTGAAGAAGCGGGCTTTTAGTACTACCGATTATCTCCAAGCTAGATTCTAGCATTTCTTTCAAATATAATTTTATAAGTTGGATTGTTTTCCTTAATGTTAACAGTCTGGTGGCTGGCATTAAACAAAAAAGGTTTTCGCTGCTAATAATATTGTCACAACTGCCCGCTTTACGGGGGTGACATAGGGGGTTTGTAGCAGCTAGTTGACAATATTATCAATTATTAAACTAGAGGGAACGATTTTCGTTTAAGTTCGAAGTACCAGTTCAGTACCAATACTTTCCGTTGGCTATTTTTTGAAAGGATGCTCTGCTTGTAGATATTGTCCGTTTCTTCGCCTCTTTTTAATTTTGCGGTTTTCCTGATAAGTCGACTTTGGCCTGGGGGGCAGCCATCTTCCTCAACTGTGATTACCTACCGTTCTTGTGTAGAAAAATACCCTATCGGCCATCAGACACTGTTTTAACGATATAAAGTTGTGTTAGGCAATAGTCCATCAAATACCGAAAAAATTTAAAACGAAAGTCTTGCGATTACCGTTTTATTTGAGTTTGAATTTCGAATCCCCTCGTGGTAAGTCCTTTTTAATTTTTTTAAAGTAATGGTTGTTCATGGAATGCCTTTATTACTTAGGGTTTTCCGAGGAGCTGTTTTTCCGAGAAGCCATTTCTCTCAACGAATCCATTTCCAAAAGCCTAAATTTTTAAAAGAATACCATTTTTGTGGACCGTGACGTAGAGCGTTTGAAGGGATACCTAGAGGAATCAAGTCCCTCACCTATTGACTCCTGTACCTCCACATTTGACGACAACTGAGAACTTCTAGCCTCTATCTACCTTGATTCAAAGCAGAATCTGCAAATTTCCTGTGCAACTTCCCTCATCAAAAAATTAATGGCTATCGTAATCCACCTTTTGTTGGAATGGAGGTTTGTATAAAATTTCATTAATACCTTTCAATATATTTTTTTTTCTTTATTATCTATTTTATGATCAATTATTAACATAATTGATAAAATTTTTACTGACATTACATTTAAATATTTAAAATTTTATTTTCGCATTCTAGACACCGAGGTGATGGTGGAATAATTGATTTTCTGGATTTTCGATTTATCGAATTTATTATAAATTTGTCTTTACCTAACTTTAAATACTGCCATGTATTATGAAGGTAAATTTTATTATTCAATACTACTGAACTGACGTCAATGTTGGACAACATGCTCTAAATTTGAAATTGGGTGAGTATACCTACATCGTCGAAAATTGATCAATTTTTAACCTGGGTCCTTAGTATAACTTTTATATTTGAGGGTTTCTATTATATCTCCTAACCCAACTTTTGATTTCATACAGGTGCAAGTTGATTTTATTGAATTTATTCTTTAAGCAGAACCTGACAATATTTATCAATACAATTTTCAATCATTCATTTTTTTTTTTTAAATTAGTTTCGCGGAAACCTAAATCTTTTATATTTTCATTCCATGATAATGATATGGCCAGCGACTGTTAATGAACAGGCTATATGGCAGGTATATTGAGGTACTTTGTAATATATATTTATCCCATTTTGACGTTTGAAAATGACATTATTGTACGCATAACAATAAAGGTAAGTAGACGTTTATCACCTCAGTGATTTAATAGTTATTTATGATATAAGTGTTAAAAGTACATTTTTAAGGCACACATGTGAAATTTTGCAGAATGAGCGAAGCGAATTCTGCAATTCACATAAGTGCCTTAAAAATACTTCTAACACAAATATCATACAATATTTTTTCTACAAACGGCAATAAAAAGCAATAACCAGTAACAAATTGGATTTTTAAATGAATAATAAATTGGAAGCATCTTTCCTATATAAAATTATTGAATTTGACATTTGTCAAAAAATCCAAACAACCATCAGTACCTTGTTTTACAGGTAATGAAACGTCTTGTCAGTTTCTTGAAAGTCTGTCGTGGTCAGTATTGCTTTTTGCTAAAAATGCAACAAAATACAGAAGAAAAAGAGGGTTGCATCGATCCCTTGTAAAATA